TTCTCTTGAATTCTCTTGAGTTCAGGCTACAGGCTAAATTGAGTAAAGCTCAGGGAGGACATGTTACGTTAAAACTACCCTTAGTTGAGTTGCCTTAGGAAAGAGAGAGTCCCAATAGATGTAAAGATTTTTGAAATATTCTTTTATTTTTTAAGTCAGTAAATAATGGATTTCCTGCTTGTAGTGCTTTAACCTCTGTTACTGAAAGCCCTGAGGCTTAATTTATAATCATTAATCTTTCCTTCATTATTCAAGATATGATCTTCCCCCCCCTTTAAAATTATGAGAAAGATCAAACATGTAAAATGGTTCAGAGAATAAGATAACAAACAGTCATAAAAACCACCATCTGGATTTAATGAATATTAACATTTTGCCTTATTTGCTTCAGAACTTTTTATTTAAATGATAAAATGTTGCAGATACATTTGAAGTCCTCTTGGTCTCTCTCCTTACATCAATACGCGTGTTCCCTTCTGTGCTACCCTGGGGTGACTTCTGTTCCCACCTCGGTGTGGTTACTTCCCAGCCACGCTTTTATACTTTTATTCCATTTATGTCTTGCCACAGCAATATATACAACTGATTCTGTGTAAGTTCAAGTGTATACCAATGGCATCGTACTACACTTAGGTTTTCACTTGCTTTTTTTTTTTTTTTCCACTTTTACCATTATAATTCGGGATTTGTACATGTAGATTGAATTCATATATTTCAGCTATTACATAGCATTCCATTTTATAGGTATATCACAGTTTATTCATTCCCCCATTGATGGGCATTTAGTTGGATGACAAATTTTTGCTATTATAAACATTGCTGTGATGAACATCTTTGAACATGGCTTCTTCGGCACGTGTTGGAAGATTTTTCCCGGGGCAGAGACCTAGGGGTGGAATCCTGCCAGGTGCAGTATATGCATCTTGAACTCTACGGAGATTGCCAGGTACCATCTCATTTGCCCCCAGAAGTGTATAAGGCTTCTCACCAACACTTTTTCTCAGACTTCTAATATCTTGCTAGTCTGCTGGGTGGAAAGAGAAAGTTGATCTTTTTATTGCTTTACCAAAACAGATTTAGTCTAAGGAGTCACAACATCATCCTTTTAAATTTCAGACAATGGTGCTCAAATTCATTCGTTTGGTAAACATTTATGGAGTTCCTATTAAGAGCCAGGCATCATTCTAGACACCCGGGCTACAGGACTAACAGATGGGACACACATTTCAGCGCTCGTGGAGCTTACATTCTAGGGGAGAGAGAGAGACAATAAATACAATAAATCAATACAATATGAATCATGTCAGTGATAAATGCTAGGGAGAAAAAGTAAAACAGGGAAGGATGGGTCCAAATGTGTATGGAAAGGTAGGGTAAGGGGCGCCTGGGTGGTTCAGTCGTTAAGTGTCTGCCTTCGGCTCAGGTCATGATCCCAGGGTCCTGGGATTGAGCCCCGCATCAGGCTCCCTGCTCAGCGGGAAGCCTGCCTCTCCCTCTCCCACTCCCCCTGCTTGTGTTCCTTCTCTCGCTGTGTCTCTCTCTGTTAAATAAATAAATAAAATCTTAAAAAAAAAAAAGAAAGAAAGGTAGGGTAATAGGGTGGTCCAGGAACACCTCTTAAGAAAGTGACCTTTGAGTAAATGCCTGAGGTAGTGAGGGAATAAACCATATAGGTGGACAACTGAGAAAAGAACATTCTAGATGGAAAGGGTAGAAGTCCAATAGGGTAGCATGTCTTGCATGTTCAAGGAACAGTGAGGAGGCTTGTGTAGCTTCAGGGGAGGGAGTAAGCGGGGAGAGAAAAGAGAGGCGAGGTCAGAGAGGGGTGTAGACTGTATCATGCAGGGCCTCCATTTTAAGGACTTTGACTTTTACTCTGAGGTAGACTGGAAGCCACTGAATGGTTTTGAATAGCAGAGTGATATAATCTGACATACATATTAAAAAAAAATCAATCTGCTGAGCGTAGAGATTAGATTGAGGGGGCAGAGGGTCTGAGTAGGAGAAAGATAATCTGGGTAAGAGATCACAGGGCTCTGGACCAAGATAGTGATAATAGAGGTGGAGAAAATGTTAGAACTTGAGGATATTTTAAAGGTAGAACCAAGAGGATTTACATATATGTTTTAAAGATTTTTTTTATATTATTTTAGAGAGAGAGCACAGTGGGGAGGGGCAAAGGGAGAGGGAAAGAATCTCAAGCAGACTCTCCGCTCAGCACAGAGCCCAACATGGGGCTTGATGTCACCACCCTGAGATCATGACCTGAGCCGAAATCAAGAGTTGGACACTTAACCAACTGAGCCACCCAGGTGCCCCCAACCAACAGGTTTATTGACAGATTGAATGTGGGGTTTGAGAGGGAAAGGAGAAGCAGCGATGAGCCCCAGAATTTTGGCCTGAGCCACTGGCTGGAAGGAGTTGTCATTAACTGAGATGTGGAAGGCTGAGGAGCAGGTTTGAGGGGGAATATCAGAAGATCAGTTTTTTGTTTTTTGTTTTTTGTAAAGATTTTATTTATTTATTTGAGACAGAGAGAATGAGAGACAGAGAGCACGAGAGGGAGGAGGGTCAGAGGGAGAAGCAGACTCCCAGCCGAGCAGGGAGCCCGACGCGGGACTCGATCCCGGGACTCCAGGATCATGACCTGAGCCGAAGGCAGTTGCTTAACCAACTGAGCCACCCAGGCGCCCCAGAAGATCAGTTTTGTCATTAGACAAAGAGCGTCTGAGGTTCGAGGGTGAAGTTTATACTGGACACACCAATTTGGGATTGTCAACAAATGGCTAGTATTTAAAGCTATACGACTAGATGAAATAACCAGAAGACATGCAAGGCCTGAGCTATGGGACACTCTGATGGTTAGAGGTTGAGGAGGAGAGAAGGAGCCTGCAAAGAGGCTGAGAAGGAGCAGCCTGAGAGGCAGGGGGAAACATCAGGCGGGTGTGATGTCCTGGAAGCCAAGGGAAGAAAGCATTTCAAGGAAGAGAGTGATCGATCCATCATGTCAGATGCTGCCAGTAGGTTATATAAGACGAGGACTGAGAATTCACTATTGGACTTAATAACACAGAAGTCGTCTTAAGAACTTGCTACCAGTAGTTTCTGTATCGTATTCCTATATGCTCCCTAGAACTTTTCAGAGGTTTCCGTTGCTGCTCTGTATGTAAGGTTGAAGAAAAATGCCTGTTACAGACTAGTCCAGAAAAAACTAGCCACGTAAAATGTTTTTGGACTGCATATACCTAATAAATAAGGTACATTGCTTTGTGTTGGCTAATACCGTGAAGTATGAAAGTATTTGACTTCAGCTACGGAAAGATGTCAAAGTCAATATGACTTCATGGTAGCTACGTTTCATCCTCACATAAAGGGTTTCCATTCTTAGAGAAATGTGGTGACTTAAAAACCATGTTTTAAGGCTGAACAGCTCTTCAGAATAGGAAGTTGGAGGAGAGATCAGAAACAAACAGAATGAAAGAAGGTATTAATGATGGTGAATAGAAGACGACTTTGTTAGTGTTTTTACAGTAGCAGTTCTCAGGTGGGATCCTTCGGCCTCTGCTGGCCCCTTGAGGCTTAAAAGGTTTTGCAAGATCGAAACTGTTTTCATAATAACTTTATTTGCCTTTTTCACTGTGATTACATTTGCACGGATGGTGCAAAAGTGAAGGTGAGTACAGTTGTTGCCATCATTGGAATCCAGGCAGTGCCACGAATCTGAGCTGTTGTCCTTGTATTCCTCAGCACAGTAGACTCAGTACAAACAGAACAGGAGGGCCAGTTTCACTTCAGAATGTGCTTGACGAAGCAGTAAAAATTATTAATTTTATTAAGTCTCGACTTTTGTGCACATCTTTTTTTAACATTCTGTGTGATGAAAGGGAAATATGGCTGCAGTCCTTCTATATGCCCAAGTGTAATGGTTGTCTTGGGAAGAAGCACTTGTGTGTTTGAGTTGAGAGCTGAATTGCTTTTTTCATGAAATACTATTTTTACTTAAAAAAACGAAGTTACTAGATTTGGGTATTTGTTGAAGATGAATGAAGTGAGCCTGTCACTTGAAGGAAAACGACGGACAGTATTTGCTGCCAATGATAAAATAGGAGTTTTTAAGTGAAAATGAGAATTTTGGAACACTTGCATCTGCCACTAAGAGCTTGACACTTTCCCGGAGCTTAAAGATCTGTTTGATGAGATCAGTGGTGACATTCACAAATGGGCTTTTTTTGATAGTGTATAATGAAATGTGTCAACATTTGGAATGTCTGTATATCTCAGTGAACCAATATTTTTCAAATGACAGAGGACGATGTTACAAAATTGTATATGAGTAAAAGATCCATTCAAAATGCAAGATAGACTTATGCTTCCAGCCAAGATGGAGTGACAGGGGTGCCTGATGGCTAACAATGTCTAGAATGTGCTTCTTTGCCATTTGTGTATCTTTTTATTTATTATTTACTATTTGTCTTTTATTGTTTTTATTATTTTTGTTATTTGTTTTTATTTTAGAGAGTGCACGTGAGAGTGAGGGGGGAGGGACAGAAGGAGAGGGAGAGAGAGAATCCCAAGCAGGTTCCACACGTGTGGAGCCTGACTCCGGTCTCAGTCCCACAACCCTGAGCCTAAATCAAGAGTTGGACACTCAACGGACTGAGCCACCCAGGTGCCCCTATTTGTATATCCTTTGTCGACTTGAAAATTTGGATTTTTAAAAAATTGCTGAACTGTGACTTTCCTTTTGAAAGTGTTATGTTAGGCCCTGTCCTGTAAATGTTGATGTAATAGTCCTGTGCCCTTCCTAGGCCAGCAGAGACCTATCTAGGCTCAGTAGTCATTACAAGACAGACAGACTCCACCCTGACAAAAGTAGTACAAAGTTGCCTGGACGTTTATATTTTCTTGGTTCATCTCTTTCAACTCAAATATTAAAAATGGCTGCAGTTCGTCAGTCTCTTCTCAGATATTCTCTAAACTTCCTGCTGTTCGTCTTGCAGTTTTCTGGTGATGACATGGCATCTGCCAGCTCCAGCCGGGCAGGAGTGGCCCTGCCTTTTGAGAAGTCTCAGCTTACTTTGAAAGGTGAGTGGCACCATGTGAAATGTTTACCATTCGAGGTCCAGCCCAGTCTATGGGGAAGAGGTAGAATTATACCACACCTTGGTCTGAGAGCCAAATATTGTGAAATAGCTGAAGAGTGTAACTATTCATTCTCATAGGGTTACCATGTAACTGGAATTCTTTTTTCTTTTCTTTTTTTTTTTTTATATATGTATTTTATTTTTAAGTAAAATTTACACCCAATGTGGGGCTCAAACTCGTAATCTGAGATCAAGAGTCGCGTGCTCCACTGACTGAGCCAGCCAGGTGCCCGTATAGCTGGAATTCTTCCCTTTTAAAGATTTTACTTATTTATTTGAAACAGAGAGAGAGAGAGAGAGCAAAAGTGGGCGGGGAGGGGTAGAGAGAGGGAGAGACAAGATTCCCCGCTGAGCAGAGAGTCTGAGATGAGATGTGGGGCACAATCCCAGGACCCTGAGATCATGACCTGAGCCAAAGGCAGATGCTTAAACCCACTGAGCCACCCAGGTGTCCCTATAGGTGGAGTTCTTAAGAAGGATAAAAGGAACTTTTGGCAAAGATTGTTGAAAATGGTAATTCCTTCATGCCTCAGGGCCCTTTTCTGTGTATACTTATTCCCTAGGTGATCTTGTCCAACCTCATGGCTTTATTTTCTTTAAAGATTTATTTATTTGAGAGAGAGAGAGAGCGCGCATGTAGAATGTAAACACAAAAATAGTGATTTTTGTCTGTTTTGGTTACTTTTGATACCTCAGTGACATAGAACATTGCCGGACATTTAGTGGGCTGTCAGTGAATATTGCTTGAATGACAGAAGGTTGCTTTGGTAGTCTTAGCTCTGCAGAAGAGTCACGGGGCTGAGAGATGCCTGGTGACCCGGGAACAGCACTCACTATCACAGCTCTGGCCTCTCAGAGATACAGTCATTTGGAGGCAAAATCGTCTTGTCATGTTTTAAAATTATTATTTTTGAAATGTAAGTGTTATTCATTTCTACATACTTTAAAATTGTTTCCTTTCTTCTAGCTCCTCAGTGCCCCTGCTTGGAGGAAACTAATATTACCAGTTTCCAAGATACATTCCAAGATACATGAAAGGGGATATGGTTTTGTAATCTTGAGAGCCAGGTTGCCTTCCTTGGAAGGAATACTCTTCTAGGAGTGCATGAGAGTGCCTGTTTCTCCACATCTTTACCAACACAGTGTGTTGTCAGACTTTATTATTATTATTTTTTAAGATTTTATTTTTATGACGGAAAGAGAGACAGCGAGAGAGGGAACACAAGCAAGGCGAGGGGCAGAGGGAGAGCTAGGCTTCCTGCTAATCAGGGAGCCCGATGCGGGGCTCGATCCCAGGACCCTGGGATCATGACCCGAGCCAAAGGCAGACGCTTAACCGACTGAGCCACCCAGGTGCCCCAAAATAACTGTTTTCTCAGCAGTTTTATTTCACATTTCTTTAATTATAAATGATGTTTAACATCTTATCCTACGTTTAAGGGAAATTTGGATTTCCTATTCTGTAGATTGTGTATTCATATTCTCTCCCCTGTTTCTTATTTACTTACTGATTTAAAAAAAGTAGTCTTGATACATTTTAATCATTTTTGGTGATGTCTCATGTCTGCTCTAGCCCTCTTGAGGAGGGAGAAGCATTAGAGTGAATTCCATAGGGTTTTGAGCTTGGGAGTTTAGCTTTTACTACCTGGTCTAAAAATTATCAAGTTTAGGTTAAAACAGAAGCCTGCCTATAGAACCTGGTGACATAATAAAGTCCCTGTTTTGGGGCCATATTATTCAGGAGCACATTTGACTTGTAAAGATTTCTGATAGCCTTTCCTCAGTGTGAATTTTTACTAGTGTGGAACGAGCTAACTTGATAGTACGCGTGCCTCTGACTATAGATGCATTTAACCTATAGGGATTCTGTAATACCATTGAAGAAAATGATGGGGAGAAAGAGAAATAACAAAATAGATGTTGTGGCTGGTTCCTTGTCCGATGTGTTTCTTTGAGAGAGCCTGTAGTGTAATTTGGGAGAGGTCGCTTTGCTATTCCTTCTCTTTGCCTCAGTTCCCTTATGCCTCTCTGTAATGCAGTCCTAGAGTTTTAAAATACACTTTTAAAATACAGCAAGGTCCTTAAACATAAGCGAGCTATTTTATCTGATATATAACTCAAGAAGCACTGAGAAACTGAACACTGAAAACCACAACAAAGCAAAAGCTGGCTGGTGGGAACCTATTGAAGGACTCTGTTCTGTGCCTTCCTAAGAGCTTTTCAAGGATATAATTTTGGCCATGTGTGATTTTTTTTTTTGGCCTTATTTGTTAACTTTAAAAGCTAAATTCTATGTGAAGATGTGAAATTGGCATTTATATTTCATCGAATAGTAAATAAACTTTCCAGATAAATCTGCTTGGATGCTGAGGCCTTTAATTTGGCTTGTGTTTTAAGAACAAGAAACTTTCAAAATAATCATCCCACTGATAAATTATAACTTATGAAGGGGAAAATGTATCTTTACAGTGGAGTGACCTGATAGACCCCACATTAACCAGAGGATCAAACTTAGCATCCACAATAGGAGGACAACCTAGTGTGTATAGAAAGACGCATACAATGTAAACTATGTAGTATTCTTGACAAAAATGTTCACTGTGAATCTCGTCATGAGGAAAACAATCAGAAAAACAGAGCATTTGGTGTATTATATGAGACAGCTGGTGGAAGTCTTTAAAAATCATTGTCAGGGAAAAAGAAGGGAGAGCATTCTAGATTTTAAAGGATTAAGAAACCAGCAACCAAATGCAATTTGCTCATGCTGATGGGATCCTGGATTGGGGGAAACAGCTCTAACAAATATGTTTGGAAAAATTGGGGAAAGTTGGATATGTAATGAATATCAAATGATAGAGGGAGTAACTAAATTTTTTTCAGGTGTAATAATGATGGTGTGGTTAGGTGGGAAAATGTCTTCCCTTTCGTTTCTATTTTTCTTTAAGTAGGCTCCATGTCTAGCGTGGAGCCCAGCTCGGGTCTTGAGCTCACGACACTGAGATCAAAACCTGAGCTGAGTTCAGGAGTTGGAGTTTAACCAACTGAACCACCCAGGTGCCCGCTTTTCTTGCCCCCCTCCCTTTTTAAAGGAATTTCTATGCCCAGCATGGGACTCAAACTCACGACCCTGAGATCGAGTTGCATGCTCTACCAACTGAACCAGCCAGGCACCCCTCCTTATTTTGTTTGTTTGTTTTTTAATTGAAGTATAATTAACATACAGTGTTGTATTAGTTTCAAGTGTACAACGTTTAGAACATCCTTATTCTTAAGAGTTGTATTCTGGAAGTATTTAGGGTTGGTAAGTCATGATATCTACAACTTTCTTTTTTTTTTTTTTTAAAGATTTTATTTATTTATTTGACAGAGAGAGAGATAGCGAGAGCAGGAACACAAGCAGGGGGAGTGGGAGAGGGAGAAGCAGGCTTCTTGCCGAGCAGGGAACCCGATGCGGGACTCGATCCCAGGACCCTGGGATCATGACCCGAGCCGAAGGCAGATGCTTAACGACTGAGCCACCCAGGTGCCCGATATCTACAACTTTCAAATAGATTACCAAAAAGAAGTTTGTGGGTATATGCCTAGTCATGGACATATATAGATATAGATATCATGTATTTGTATCCTGTGCTATCCAGTACGATAGCCACTATAGCCCCATAGAACTATTTATGTTAAGACTAAAATTACATTGGGCGCCTGGGTGGCTCAGTTGGTTAAGCGACTGCCTTCGGCTCAGGTCATGATCCTGGAGTCCCTGGATCGAGTCCTGCATTGGGCTCCCTGCTCAGCGGGGAGTCTGCTTCTCCCTCTCCCGCTCCCCCCTCTTGTGCTCTCTCTCTCTCTCACTCTCTCTCTCAAATAAATAAATAAAAAATCTTAAAAAAAAAAAAGATTAAAATTACATTAACAATTTAAATCCTCAGTCGTAAGAGCTATATTCCCAGTCCTCAGTAGTCACATGTATCTCATGGCAATGCATTGGACTGTGTTGGCATAGAACTTTTCCTTATCACTGAGGTTCTTTTGAATAGCAATGATATAGACACACACATAGAAAAAAAAAAAACAAAACCAAAACCCCAAATGTGGTGGGGCACCTAGCTGGCGCAGTTGGTAGAGCACATGACTTTTGATCTTTGTGTTGTGAGTTCAAGCCCACTGACGCAGGGCTCAATCCCAGAACCCTGGGATCATAACCTGAGCTGAAGGCAGATGCTTAACCTACTGAGCCACCCAGCTGTCCCGTGAAAAGGCTTTTTAAAAAAGCAAATGGGGCAAAATGATAGTTGTTGCCGAGTATACAGTTATTTATTGTCTTATTCTTTAAACCTTTCTGTAGATTGGAAATTTCAAAATAAAACTACCAACTGCAATATGTAATCCTAGGTTGGGTCCTGGACCAAAAAAAAAAAAAAAGTTTCTTTTCTCTTTTGCTATAATGGACATTGATAGGACATTTAACAAAATTTATTTTTATTTATTTATTAATTTATTTGTTTTTTAAAGATTTTATTTATTTATTTGACAGAGAGAGACACAGCGAGAGAGGGAACACAAGCAGGGGGAGTGGGAGAGGGAGAAGCAGGCTTCCCGCTGAGCAGGGAGCCTAATGTGGGGCTGGATCCCAGGACCTGGGATCATGACCTGAGCTGAAGGCAGACGCTTAACAACGGAGCCACCCAGGCGCCCCAACATTTAACAAAATTTAAATGAGGTCTGTACATTAGATCATAGTTTTAAAAGGTTGTTAAATTTTTCCATGTTGATAATTATGCTATGGTATCAGAAAATGTCTTTGTTCTTAGAAATATACACTGAAGCGTTTAGAAGAAAAGGGGCACAGCATCTTCTAAAACTCACTCTCAAAGTTTCAGGAACAGATGTGTATGTGTATGAAAGAGAATCAGGGGAGAGAAAGAGAATAATAAAGCAAATATAGTAACAAGTTAATATTTGGTGACCCTTAGGTGAAGGGTTTATAGGAATTCTTTGTATTTTTGTTGCAACTTTTCTAAACATCTGAAATTATGTCAAAATAAAAAAGAAAGTAAAGATACCAAAAAACCCCACCCCCCCAAAACAAAAAAATAAACCTCCAAACAAACAAAAAAACCTAGGGGAAAAAGCTAGGACAAAAAAGGAAACATTAGAACAGAGGTCCGAGAATTGGCCTGGGAGTTCTCTGATTTTGGATACGTTATCTCATCTCCCTGCACCTTATTTAATTGGCTCAACTATTAAATGAAGGGTTTGAACTTGTTTTCTTTTTTTCCCTTAATTTAAATTCAATTAATTAACATATAGTGTATTATTAGTTTCAGAGGTAGAGTTCAGTGATTCATCAGTCTTATATAATACCTAGTGCTAATCATTATATCATGTGCCCTCCTTATGAACTTGTTGATTTCAAAGAAACTGTCTAGCTCAAAATGATAGGACTATAATTAAAACTAGTCCTTCCCCCTTCCCCCGCTTTTTAAGGCTCTGTGTGCAGAGCTGCTCTCCCACCACCAGGTGGCCTCAGTTAACCTTGGTCTGTGTGAAAAGTATTTGTTTTCTACTCTGGACCACATTTCCCACCACCACCACCTGTTTCTCCTCGTACCATCCCCTATTGCTTCTGAATCTTAGCCACAACTTTTGCTGTTGTTGTTCTTTGACTTGCTCTCTACTGTTCTTTGGGCCTCGGAAAAGACAGGTATTGCTAAAAGAATCCAGAGGTAGTTTTGTCCTTTGTCAAGTTGTGGACCCTTATAGGACTCTCACCTCTCAGAAGGGTCTGGGAGGGAGAGGTTTGCTAAACCTTGTCGGAGGGGAGCTCTGTCTTGCCTCATGGGTAAGAAATGCCAGTCACATGCTCTGATTTGGGGCATGGGATGGAGGACACCTTAGGTGTGTTCCATCCCAGTGACCTGGAGTTTCCACCATGGCTAATATATGTTCGACGAGATGCATGTATACTTGTTCAGCTTGGCTTGCAGGTACCAAATAAACATCAGAGATCCTGCCACATGAAGGATACAGATAGAATAGGAAATGCAGATGGCTAACAAACACATGGAAAACATATACAACCTCACTAGTAATTGAAGAACAGCAATAGAACAAATAAGCAAAATCTGGTAATGACATACAGCGTGGTGGGGAGTCAGGTTGCCTGGGTGCACATCCTGGTTTGAAGCTCCCAGGCTCTGTCACCTGGGGCAATGACTTAACTTCCCCAAGCCTGCTTCCTCTGGGTGAAATGGGGGTGATGATATATTCCCTGCCTCATGGGTTTGTTTTAAGGATTCATTTAGATGATGTGTGCATAGCCTAGTGTCTGTCATAAGTGCTCATTAAACCTTACCTAATTTATATGATTTTTTTTTTTTACCTTTCTGATTTCTAAATAGTGAAAAAACATAATACTCAGCATGATGGTGGTGAAATGGATATATTGGCATCTACATGGGTTTATCCTTTTTGCAAAGGAATTAAGCAGTTTGAAGAAAAAATATTCATATCATTTGGAGGAACACTGAGAAATGCATGCAAATATATACATTCATGATGATTTTCCCAGAGTGAAAAATTGGAAGCAATCTATTCATCACTGAAAGAATAGTTAACTAAATCATGGCATGTCTATACAATTGGCTCATATTGCAGCCATTTAGAATTGATTTTGGAGGGAGAAGAATTCTTAAAGAATTGGGGGCATAAAAGATGAGAGTCTGGAAAGTCTGGATTTGCCAACATCTTAATGATAATTATCCCAGTGTTTTCAGGTTAGGAGTGCTTTTTTTTTTATGCTTCGTAGTTTTTAAAATATCCTCACATTTTTTTAAAAGTAATTTTTTTTAGGATCAGAAAAAATACCAAACGTAGTTTTTAAAAGAAACAACAAAAAAGAGCGGAACAGCTGCCACAGGGGGGCACCTGGGAGCCTTCTGACTCATCTTCGACTTTTCCTTTCTTTCCCGTCCAGTGGTGTCAGCAAAGCCCAAGGTGCATAATCGTCAACCTCGAATTAACTCATTTGTGGAGGTGGCAGTGGATGGACTCCCCAGTGAGACTAAGAAGACGGGGAAGCGAATTGGGAGCTCCGAGCTTCTCTGGAATGAGATCATCATTTTGTAAGAGAAAGTCCCTTCTCTTTGCAGTAACGAGGGGGAAAGTGAGGAGGTGCTCCAGGGGGGTTGTGGGAGATCCAGCTTTCCTGTGACCCCGCTAAGTCCTCTGCCTTTGGTACCCAGGGCACCTCTCGCCAGGTGTTTCTACATCATTGAGCTCACAGAGCGTTCATTATTAGCAAGATGGTTACAGGGTCAGCTTTGGGGGGGGGAAGAGTACACATGTGAGTGTCTTCCTGTTTGAGGTTTCCCCCCTCCCTCCAAGATGTCAGCAGTAAGTTTATCTGTTTTCTTCTACGTTGTAGGAGTGACCAATGTGCTCAGATGTGATTAATCAAGTTTTTGTTTTCCAGGAATGTCACGGCCCAGAGTCATTTAGATTTGAAGGTCTGGAGCTGCCATACTTTGAGAAATGAACTGCTAGGCACCGCCTCTGTCAACCTCTCCAATGTCCTGAAGAACAATGGGGGCAAAAGTACGTATGATGAAGGGGTGGCCGACATGATTCAGTTGTGGGGGTGGGGAGAAGAATTCGAAGGGTTGGATTTCTCTCTCACGCCATGGATAGACCTGGCGATGCAGTTTCCTCCAGGACCAGGGGCTGCCGTGACTGTTCCCTGTGGAATGGGTCGTGGAGGTTTAGGAAGGCCAGAGCCCAGCACTGCCGGATTCAGCTTCTTTTGTCCCCGGGCTCTCCCAGTGGGATGCAGTGATGTGTCCCCTTGATCCTTTCTGGAGGTTGAATGCTCTCCCTCTGCCTCTGCTCTTTTCCCAATCCGGGTGACATGTGACATGTTGAATCAAACTGTCCCATGCCTCCAGCCTAAATCATTACTTTCCTAGTCTGAGTCCTTGAGCAGAACAAAGAAGTGGCGTGTGTTTGTGTGTGTGAGGTGGGGGGGGGGGGGTGGCGGGGGGGGATGGTGTTACAAATAGTGCCTCGTGCTTAGTAGGCACTCAGTAAACGTTTACCGAATGTTGGAATGTGACGGAAGCTCTGTCTTAATTATTCAGGGTGCCTCTGCTGCATGGAAATCTAAATCCTAACGTCTGTTTATTGCTGCTTGTGGTCAATGGCATAACCCATGGCTGTGGTATCTGGACCCTCCCTCATAAAGCCTCTATTGAGAGCAGTACCATATGTGGTGGGGGAATGCCACAGAAAGAAAGGCTCCTTTCTCTCTTGATGTCTGCCGTCTAGAAAATATTTTCTGAAAGTGGATTTAGCTTAAGAGAGATGTGGGGGTGGGGAGTGTTGAGTCCCAGGGAGAGCGCTGCGTTGATTCGAGGGTCTTTTCTTTCTGAGCCTGTCCTTTCTGACAGGCCACTCCAGTGGTATTGGAGGCTCTTCTGGTCTTTCCCTTTCTGCTGGGCACACAGAGGTGTGGTGAACCCACTCCAGCTTCAGGAGTTGTTTAAAACCAGGAATATGCCTCTCCTTTAACTCCATGATGGTTTATCTTCTGAGTTGGTCTTTATTTCCCAAACTCTAGCGTTCCTTTTAAAATTTGATTATCAAGGAGGATTACATTTATTACGTCATTTGGAAATATACCTGTGGACATTCTCGCATGAGGATCAGCAGCCAGTATGACTGTCCTTTTTTTTTTTTCCCCTTCTTCATTTGTTCCGTCAACATGCTTTTGATTATAAAAGTAATTGTAGAAAAACTGGAAATTACACAAAAGCACACAGACACACAAAGAAAATAAAATTCTCCTGTAAGCCACCGTACTTAGTGATAATTACTACCATTTTGACATATATTTTTCTGAGCCTTTTTTTTGTGTGTGCAAATATAAGTATTTAAGACGTCAATGAAACGAAATTGAGACCATACATAAACATAATATTTTGTAACATGCCTTTTACTCTTTAAAATGTATTAATATATCTTTTTAAAAAAATGTATTTATTTACTTTTTTTTTTTTTTTTTAGTAATCTCTACACGGGGATTTTGGGGCTCAAACCTACGACCCCCAGATCAAGAGTCATACACTCTTCTGACTGAGCCAGCCAGGCGCCCCTCAATATATCTTTACGGATATATTTCTGTGATGAAATGCACTTAACGTAAAATTTACCATCTTACCCATTCTTTTTTTTTTTTTTAAAGATTTTTTTTTTTTTTTAAAGATTTTATTTATTTATTTATTTGAGACAGAGAGAATGAGAGAGATAGAGCACATGAGAGGGGGGAGGGTCAGAGGGAGAAGCAGGCTCCCTGCCGAGCAGGGAGCCCGATGCGGGACTCGATCCCGGGACTCCAGGATCATGACCTGAGCCGAAAGCAGTCGCTTAACCAACTGAGCCACCCAGGCGCCCTAAAGATTTTGTTTTTTATTTTTATTTTTATTTATTTGACAGAGAGAGAGAAACAGCATGAGAGGGGATAGGGTCAGAGGGAGAAGCAGGCTCCCCGCTGAGCCGGAGCCAGATGTGGGACTCGATCCCGGGACTCCGGGATCATGACCTGAGCCGAAGGCAGTCGCTTAACCAACTGAGCCACCCAGGCGCCCCCCATCTTACCCATTCTTAAGTGTATAGTGTAGTGGCAGTTAAGTACATAAACATGGTGCGACCGTCACCACTGTCCGCCTCCAGAATTTCAAACTCAAACTCTGTACCCATCAGACAACTCATTCACTCTCTTCCCTCCACCACCCACCATTCTATTTTCTGTCTCTATGCATCTGAGTAGGTACCTCATATAGGTAGAATCATACAGTATTTGCCCTTTATTAAAAAAAAAAGGTTTTATTCATTTATTTATTTATTTAGAGAGTGAGCACGAGGAGGGGCAGAGGGAGAGACAATCTTAAGCCGACTCCATGCTGAGCGTGGAGCCCTACGTGGGGCTTGATCTCACATGCCTGAGATCACAGCCTGAGCTGAAACCGAGAGTCGGACACTTAACGGACTGTGCCAACCAGCACCCCCCCCCCCCCCCAGTATATTGAAATAGCTTCAGTTATTCTTCCAAAGTGTAGTTTTGGAAGTATACTCCCAAAGTATAATACTATTACTGGTACTAGTCTCTCAGGTGGTTGTGTGATGGACATTGGGGTTGTTTTCAGTATTTTATAGTCACAAATAATGCTATGGTAAACTTATACGTTTATAAATCTTTCTGCCTATTTTGATAGTTGTGATGAATTATTGAAGATGGGTTTGATGGGTTTAAGCATTTTTCACACACTTGTGACATTGGACACATATTGCAAGATTACTGTCCAGAAAAGTTCTGCCAATTTACTCTCCCATCAGCAGTGGTCAAAACTGCTGGTTTCTCTTGCATCTTGGCCTTTATTGGAAAAGAAATGTGTTTTTTTTTGTTTTTTTGGTTTTTTTGGTCTATTTGATAATTAACGTTATGCCAGATTTGCTTCATCTATTTTTTTTGCTTTTTTTGGTTGTAGTATTTCAAAGTAAATTAGAGGTGTTTCAGTATTATATTTTAGATTCTTCAGCATGTGTCTTAGAAAAAAAGGATATTTTCTTTTTTAAAATTTTATTTTGTTACAAAAATTAACCCATTTATTTTAGGCTAGTAATGTTTCAGATGGTAGAGCTTTTGCTGGTCTCTCACGTCCTTCAAGGTTCTGATGGCCGCCGACTTTACTGTGACCGCAGGGCGATACTGTAGGTCTGAGCCCCACCAGCCACTCTTTGCATGCAGGAACCACAATGCCAGCTCCCCACAGCTCGTCTTTTCATCTTGATTGTTCCACAGAAGGAGCAAGTGTGCTTGGCATGCTGGCTTATTTCAGTCTTTTTCACCGTTTTCCTGCGAGAGGCACCATAATGGGTCTCACACGAACCAATGATTCTGACCTTCTTGGTCTGTTTAGCCATGTCACCACAAACTAGGTCTGAGCCCAGAGAGGGAGCAAAAAGGATGTTTTCTTATGTAATTACCATACCATTATCATACCTAGCAATATTAACATGAATTCCTTATTATCACCTAATACCCAGTTCCTATTCAATTTCACCATTGTCTCAAAGTGTTGTTTTCAAGTTGGTTTGCTTGAACCTGGATTCAGACAAGGTCTACTCATTGAATTTGGTCGTTATGCCTCTGAAGTTACCCCAACTTCGCTCTGCCTTTTGATGCTGTGATTTATTGAAGGAGATTGAATGTTTTTAGAGTGTGTTTATTGCCTTATTAATGTTCTTTGCTCTTTTTATATCAAAGTGTGCATTTTTTTCTTTTAGTTTTGAAAGAGTTCTTTATATGTTAAGGCCATTTCTCTGTCTTATAATTTATAAATATTTTTTCCGGTTTTTCATTTGCATTTTAATTTTGTAGGGTTTTTTTTTTCTCTTTTTCTTTTTTTTTTAAAAGATTTTATTTATTTATTTGAGACAGAGAGAATGAGAGAGAGAGAGCACATGAGAGGAGGGAGGGTCAGAGGGAGAAGCAGGCTCCCTGCCAAGCAGGGAGCCCGATGCGGGACTCGATCCAGGGACTCCAGGATCATGACCTGAGCCGAAAGCAGTCGCTTAACCAACTGAGCCACCCAGGAGCCCTTTTTTCCTCTTTTTCAAACAGATGTTTTAAACTTGCAGTTGACTCATCACTCTTTGTATTTGTAACCTTTTCCTTTATGAAAGGCTTTCTCCATCCTGAGTTCAGGTAAATAGTCACCTCTAGTTTTTCCTAGTTCATTGTGATTTTATTTTTCCACATTAATTCTTTTTTTTAAGATTATTTATTTGAGAGAGTGAGAGAGAGTGAGCCCAAGCAGGGGGGAGGAGCAGAAGGAGAGGGAGAAGTGACGGGGGCCTCAATCCCAGGACCCCTGGGATCATGACCTGAACCAAAGGCAGATGCTTAACCGACTGAGCCACCCAGGCGCCCCTGCATTTCTATATTTTTCTTTTTATTAGCATATACTGTATTATTTGTTTCAGGTCTGTGATTCATCAGTCTTACACAATTCACAGTGCTCACCATAGCACGTACCCTCCCCAGTGTCCATCACCCAGGCATCGCATCCTCCCTTTAATTCTTTAAGTGAGTTTATTTTTGTGTACAGTGTGAGTAGGGATCTAACTTAATTTTTCCCTAGTAGTTCACTGGTTGCTTTAGTAGTACGTACTGAATAATCCATCTGTGATTATCATCCCTGATGATTTGAGTTGTTACCTTCAGCGTATATTAAGAAAATATATACATATGTAAGTAAAATATACATGCACACACACACATGGACACACACACATACACATACTTGGGCCTGTGTCAGGGATTTTCCATTTCATCTGTTGTTTTATTAGACTTCTAAAATCACTCTCTTTTAGCTGTTGTAATGTTACCATGATTTAATATCTGACTGTTTGAGCTTATCTGCTTTTTAAAATCTTCTCCCTCTTTTCTTTGCATATATGACAACAGCACCTAAACTTTAAATTATTTTCTCAGGTTCTTCCCCTCTTCTTCCTCTCTTCCCCCCCATTCCCTTAAAATT